TAACTATAAACCTGATCCAGCCCTAACTATAAACCTGAGCCAGCCTTAACTATAAACCTGCTTCTTCCCCACACACTTATACAGCACAGTAATCAAACACACATGCTACTGCTCTATTGTTTTCTGTGTGTGGCAGCAGGATTCCAGGTTAATCTCTGTACAATAAAAGCAGCTTTCATCCCTTCATACAAGTGGTGTTAATGACTACTGCTGACTCCTGTAGAACCCTTCCTGCCGTTAACTCCTTCACTGTGATAAGACCTTGTTAGCTCCCCTCCCCCGACTCTCCCACTGCAATTCACTAGACCTCAGGCCCTGGGAACTGGCTGTGGGAGGCAGTGGCCAAGCCCCTCCAGTCATTTCAACAATGCTCATGTTAATGCAGATAGAAGTCATCCTCTTTTAGTGTTGTCCTTCCAACCACACTGATGTAGCACACTCCCTACACCTCCTTATTGACCTGTTAGAAATCCGTCAGTTTGATCTCTTCTTTCACTTTACTAAGTGAAAGAATGGGAAGAAGAGATCAAACTAAGTGTCAGTGTCTGTCTGCATCATTGTACACATGCCCCGAGTGTGTGCTTTTCTGTACACCCTCTTCTTTTACTAATGCATGGCCTTTTGTACAGTCACACCCTTTATGTGTTGATAACATGGATTAGATGAGATTTAATTATCCACAAAGGCAGCACAAGAAACAGTCTAAAGAGTTGATAAACAGATAAAGAACCACTTCAAATCAAATGAACAAATGTAAGAAATGAGAGACATGGAATTCACAAGCCTACATATATACATATATATATATATATATATATATACTGTATATACATATATATGTATATATGTATATGTGTATGTATGTATATATGTGTGTATATATATATATGTATATATATGTTTATATATTTATGTATATATATATATACAGACATAAATAATTATTGAGGTCGTACACTGACTTGTTAAGAGTCACACTGGTAGCTCTGATATATATTTTCTTTTCACAACATAAATACAAATATAGGCATAAGCAATTGCAAAGTGTATTCCTGTAGACCTCAGCAGCAGTGACTTCATGAACTTCTTTCATGATAAGATTCTAACTATTAGAGACAAGATATAATAATCTCCTGCCATCTACCAGATCTATCCTCAAATATTGAAACAGCTGTAAACCCTGATATATATTTTTCTCCCAATTAGGGCTTTGTAGGTTAGCTAATACAGGAGTAATATGAAGGTATTTATATGAATGTATGATCTTTTTATCCATTTGATATGGCATGTTTCATATTTGCCAGTCCATTCATCAAACATGATGTTCCTAGTTCTACCTGAGACACCACTGAGGAACAACACTATTTCAATGTCATTGATAAACCCAGTTATTCAATTATTATGTTGTGTCACTTACTCTATTGTATTTCTGTGTGTGTGTGTGTGTGTGTGTGTGTGTGTGTGTGTGTGTGTGTGT